CCCTGCTTCCTGAAAAAGATGGGACTCTCAACAAGTTGAACGTTTCCTTCACCAATAGCTGCGGCCCGACCTTTACAACTCCTATCCATGCTTGGATCTTCAACATTTTGAATGAAAAAGCTGCCCAAGTCTGACAATCATTCCAAGGACGAAAACACCAGGAGCCTTGACTCCTCCCCCAAACCAGAATCCCTGAGGCAAATGTACATAAAGTATCATAAAGTCATGACCTACTTCCAATCACCTTCAAACCCGCTGAGTGGTAAACAAGTGCATCATTCTTCATCTGTCATTGTTCTTGGAATCTTCATCACTGGGCCGCCAAGCCATCGCACCACCTCGAAGGCGCAGAATGCTGCAGAACCAGAACATTTGCTTTTCCCAAGCAGGGCTGGAAGAAGAAGTTGTCTATTTTCTTGAAGAACAAGAAACTTGCTTCTCAGGTATCACGTATCTCCATCTTTGGTTCGTTCAAACGACTATGTCAAGTCAGAAAGTCCTTGCATTGCTGTCGTCGGTTCCACGGCCACCCCCGCCCAGAAATCAAACTACTAAGAAAGATACAGGTTGCTAAGCCGCGCCATTGGTTCTGCTTGCGAACCTGAAACATCAGCAAGGAGGCGAGGTCTTGGGCTGTGAAATGAAAGAGTTTCCTCGATGGAAGCTGAGAATGTTTGGGAATCGCTTGTCGCTTGCAAACAACATGTACGAAATCCCCAAACCTGTTGGGCCATTATTATGGCTGCAATGATCCACCCTGAAGAACATCTTTCACCATCGGCGACAGCGGCGCGCACCCCACCTGAGCCCAAACCTCACTATGAGCCTTGGTCCATTCCACCACCTGGTCGTGGAGGGTGTCTCAGCTCAAGCATTTATGGCCCAGTGGCACCCAACACGCTGTGATCAGATGGAGTCTGACACCACAATAGCTGTTCTTCACTTCGTAGGGTTCCCCTCCATCTGGACATCCCCACAAGAACCCGCTGGCCATCAACCGGTGCAAGCAGCTGCCATGGTGCGGTGCCCCCCAAAAAAAGGCGGAGACCTCTAGCCTCTAGGCCTTAGGCCAGAAATCTGTCCGTTTCATTACGTTTATGTTGTTTCTCTAGAACACCCCAAACATCCCGAACCCAAAGAAGTCACGATCACCGCGATCCCGTTCATCACATTCATCACCGGGCGGCCTCTCCCACCACCACGGAGGTGTCGTCCATCTTGCCCCCCAAGCCGATTGGCGTGTCCGGCAAGCCATAGAGGCCCACCTCTCGTCCCACACCGCTGTGGGAGACTTGGAGACGACGTGCGGATGCAGGAGCCTCGTGTAGCGAAAGAAGTCCCAATCTGGCCTTTTTTCTCCTTTTTTCCTGGTTGCCCAGGGCTTCACCCAGCCCTCCGGCGCCTCCGACTTGGCATGGGCTTCGTCTACCAGGCGCCTCGCCAAGTGGCTCAAGAGCACGGGCTGCGTGGCCACCTCAGCGGTCTTGAAGATGGGAGACTCCTCTGGAATTCATCCTGATTCGATCATAATTGTCCATGCTTTTTCGTGGCCTGTGGCCAACTTTAAATGCTCCGTGCGTGAACTGAGAAGCCTAAAAATACGAGAGAGATACCGCAATACTGAGTGCATTCACACTCATAAGCATGACTCAGTCTGTGACTCAGTCTGCTAGTGAGGGTAGAGAGATCCTTCAGTCTTTAAATCAGGCAAGGAAGAATCCCAGAAAAATCCATGAAGTTGTCAATACTTGGAGGTTGCACACTTGCACATGTCCACTACTTTCATCCATTTGCCATCTGGGGCCCAAACGAAAGGTCCAGGCTTTGGGATGGGCAACGTCTCGTTGACAATCTCTACGATCTGCGCAACGCAAACAGCACGGACCAACGGCCAACGATCTACGACCGAGTCTGGTGCCTACAAATGTTCAACTTTTGAAGGACCCTCGGTCATATGGAGACTCAAGAAATGTGGATGCGGTGTGAGTTGGCAGCTTGAAGCTTCATGCAGAGCTGAGCAGGCCGAGGACATTTCAGACCAGAACGAGAAGTCCAAACCCCACCACCCGCCTTCATCATTCCCATCCATCCGGGCGCGTTCTTCACCCGAGTGGTCGTCCTGAGCCGTCCTCGCCTCTTCAAGATAGAGGTTGTCAAAGACTCCATCGCTTCCCAAAACCTGGATTGAAAAACAAGAGAAATGGCCTCCAACCTAATAGCTGCCTCCACCCTAAGAGCGATGGCCTCGAACCTAATGCAAGATGTTTGAACTTCTAGGCAACCCTTCTGACTTTGACCAACCAAGTGATACCGCGCACTGCTCCAGAATCCAAAAATTATCGAAAACGGCACCAGGCTCTTCACCAACCCACGTCCGTGCAATTTGAGAAAGCCCCGTGAACCATCGGCCACTGCGATCACTGCGTAACAATCCCAGCCAACCATCGATCGACTCGCATGCCAGCTGGGCCAGGATGTCTCCCTCATACGCGGAGACACAGTGCACGGCACTTCCTCGTTCAATGACCTGCCACTATGCCGAGATGGCAACCATGTGGAAATTGGGATCACTGATCTCCTACACTCTGTGTTGGACCCGCAGGCTCGTGAATGGGTCAAGAGTTGGCATCCCAAAAACTTCCCGGCAAAGGACAAACCAAGACATGTGGTCGACCGCAGGCGACTTGCAGCGCCGAAAGAGACTTCTTCTGGGTCCACCGGTTCAAAACGTTGGAAGGACACCTCCAGCGCCAGCTCCTCATCGAATTCGGGGTCCACGCGGTCCTGGCAGTCTGCGGAGAACGTCTGAGCCTGCAGGCCTGGGATGGAAACTTGAGAAATGAAAAGCAGAATCACAATGGTTTATCACAACAGTACAAGCAGTATCACAATACAAGCAGTGAAAAACCATGGTTTTGGGCCAGTTTTGACTCAAAGCCGCATAAGCAACCATGAGATTGTTCCCCTGGGGACATGGCTCGTTTTTCTGAAACCAAACACCAAAGCCGGACCGAAAACCCACACGGCTCAAACACCAGTTGCTGCCAGGAGGCATCCACCCTAGCCAGCTGCAGTGGCGTCTGAGACTTAGAAAACGAGAAGTGAGCTGAAAGAAGACCACAGTGTCGAGAAGAAGTGACAAACTCCTCAAAAATGTGTATTTCTCCTTATAGACAAAAGAATGCCCAAAAAAAAGAATCGAGCAACGGAATTGTTAATGTCCCGACCGAGTTTGGCATCGTTCACCAGTCCCAAATGAACTACCCAACGTCGAAAGACTTGACATTCAACCAGCAATATCAACCAGAATGGGACTTGATCAACTCAACCAGACACAGAACCATGTGATCCTATGGGTGTTTCTGTCTATTAAATCCATTACATACCAAAAAATTCAACCACCAAAGTTCCTTTGCGCTTCCTCACCAACAACAAGCTCCTCCCGTCGTTCCCCTCTAAGAACGGCGTGTTCCCGAAGAGCTTGAGTTTCCCCACGTGGCCATCGATCCTCTGCATCTCCGTGTGGAAAACCTTGGCCAAACGTGGCCCGCACTCTCACGCTGCTCCAAACGAGTGCTGCATAAGTCTAGAATGGGGATCAAGAATGGGTACATACCCAGAAGTGCCTGCATGTAAACCAAACAGCTTCAAAATCAAAAACTTTGACTTGTGGATCCACTACCGAACAGACCAGATTCCGGTTCGTGGTAGATCTAATCTACGCAAGTCAAGCAAGACCAACATGAAGCGGCAAAGACCGGCATAGATTGATGTTCTGGCACCCATGACAGGACCGCCAGCAAGCCCTCGGTGATGGTGCTACAGCTGATGGTTGAAAACAAGATGCAAATCCTTGCGTTTTTTGAAGTTTGAGGAATTCCATCAAGCCAAGCGCCACCTCGTTGAGTCCTTTTGACACATCTGCCTACTGCCTACCCACTAAACACCAACTTTTCTGCCTTACCATCAAGCCCGATCCATACAAAACTTGGAACATTTCACTCATGACCTCATTGGCCTTGCTGGGCTGCGCCGACCGCCTGCAAGGGTGACTGTCGGCCTTGGAGCTGGAGCCGGTCCTCTTCGGTGGTTTGATCCCCAAGTCATTTGAGAAGACTCCCCCAAGTTCTCTTTTTTGCCTAGGTGCAATGGCCTCCAACCCAATAGCAATCCCCAAGTCACTTCCGCAAGTTCTGCACAAAATGACGAGAAGAACGGCGGGGGAGAACTGCATTTGCAACGGCAGTCCCTGCCATCTTGATGGCCCGAAAAGGGAAGACCATTGAGATCCCACTTAGTGCCAACAGCTTAGGGGCGAGACCCCCTATGGCCAATAAAGCCTCCTGTTTTCAAACGATTTCCACCTCAGAGCTTGGTCTCTGTCACCAGTTCCAAACATGGAGCCAAACATGCAGCCCAGCAGCCGTCCAGCCGGCGCATCATCAGCATCTCGCAGTCACCTGGGAAAATGCGACGGACACTGATGGCGCATCACGCGCCATCCTGGAGCAAGCTGACTTGTGAGGCTCGCGCCTATGGTCAGCACGGCCACCATCGGATGCAACCTGGCATCCCCATGTCTTTTCTGAATTTTGCTAGTTTGGTGAGCTACATGGCTAAATACATGTTGGTCTCATAATCTAATACAACTGCGTACCGAGCTGTGTTAAAAGCCCTTCGAATAATTGATTTGTACTCCCACACAACATTGTAGGAACCAAATGATTAGTGCGAGCGCTTCTTCAATGAAGCGTGAGTTATCCTGCATCCAGCAGCTAGGAGCTAACTTAACCCTCTCTTAATTCAGTAGGCACAAACGAATTACGTAAGGAGGCTAAGGCCACGGGCTTTTGAAAAAAGGAAGAAAGAAACAGCACAGTTGCCAAAGACTACGAATGGACTGGCCAGGGTCCCTCGTCGAGACCCTCAACTCTTCGGACTGAGCTCAGAAACTTTCCATGGACCCTGGTGCTGTTGTCCAGGACGGCCAAGAGGATGGTTGTGGAACCCAAGCCTGTCACGAGTCAGAACTCGCGTCCAACAGAGCTTGGAACGTTTGAAGATGCAAGTGTTGTTTCCAGGCCAATTTCAGGAGAATCTGAATCTGATGACACTTCCTTTAGGCAGTAGGCAGGACATTTATCCTGGCATTGCGCCCACATGAGCAGTGTTCTCTTAAAGGCACCATCATGCCACCGAGGCGCTCTCAGTCTCCTCGTAGGCCTCCTTCAGCAAGGCGACCGGACCACGGTAGGCATCCTGAGCCACACGACGCGTCGTTCCCTGCGGCACTTCGGTTGACGAACAGCACTGTGGAGGCGCTTCGGCCTGTGGGTTTGCAGGACGATCTGGGATCAACTGGTTCATGCCCATGTCCTGGCCGCAACACAAATGTGGGCCAGTGGCGCTGCAGAAAGCAAGATCATGTTTCCTCGCCCGGAAATTGATCTATTTTTGAAAATGGCTTCAGAAAGTATCGTCTTCTACTTGCTAGAGTGTTACAGGATGGTTTGAGAGCCCGCTTTTTTGCTCCAAAAATCCATCAGGCGCATCCACACTCAAACATAGCACTTGGATCCCAGTCCTCACAGACTCTCAGAAGCTCCTGGCTGCAGGTCAGAGTAGCTTCGGATGAGAAAAGGGCAGATGTTTGGCCTGGGAACTGCCATTCGTAATCTTTAAACATTTTGTCCTTGCAGGCTTTGCAGGCTTCAAGAGAGAACTCAGAGAATCAAGATTAGAGATTTCAACACTAAAGCCTGGTTGCAGCTGCCGTGAGTGACCATCTTTCTCCAACCAACACTTGGCAAGATAGTTGAACGAAGCCATCGAAGCCGGCATTGCTCAAACACAGGTGAAACCATGAAACAACCATGAAACCCTTCAGCTACAGACAGACTATGGGTCAGTTTGTTCCAAACCAAAATCATGTGTTAAAAAGTTTAAAGACAAGGAGCCCCAACGTTGATTTACGGTGCCCCCTACCATCGTTTGCGGAAAAACATCTGAATCACACCATGTCGCTCCGTGACATGATAACACAACAGACAAAACGTGATTGCTTTCGGATGCTTCTAGTGCAAGTAATGTAATGTTTAATTCGTATTCAGCAGGTCATCCTTCCCCCCCCAAAAAAGAGAATTGGAGACGTACCCGCCCCCCTTATTGTTACGAATGTAACATGAAAATTCGCCTCAACCTAGACCTCGTCCTGCAGGTCCTGGTCGCTAATCCCCCGGCTCACCAAGCTGAAAACCGGCGGGTTCCCCGGCTTTGGGAAGCTCTGAGGCGTCCATCCCGAACTCCTCCAACTGTGACCTCGAGTGTTCAAAACCGACGAGGAGAAGGCCTGGTTTTGTTCACTCGGGTTCCCACAAGGTGCGTAACCAGACCCGGATGTGGGATGGTCTGCCAACCATATGGGCATCAGTGCCAAAAGTTGGGTGTTTGATTTTGACCCACAACAATATGCAGCTGCATAGAAGATAGGTCTCCTTCCACTAGCTCCTCCAGCGATGTATTTTCGTACAACGAATCTGCCTGGGCATTGCCCTCCCGAGGCCGCAGCACACCGTCGGCGACGCCCAAGATCATCGGTGAGGCCAACGTGGCGTCCGCATCCTCCGTGGGACGGTTTGTCGTCGTGGTGACCGGTCACCACCACGGACTTTCGAACTGAAGACGACCCCGTTGGTTGTGGGCGACCCCAAAAACCCGTTCATCCAATCTATACAAAATCAAATCCTATGTCATATGTCTAACGATCCGTGACACTGCGATGCCATTCTCCCTCCAACTGTGGAACTCACGAAGCCCGAGGGAAAGACAAAAATGAGGACTTCCTTTGGATATGACTCGAAAGAGGAAAGTCCACGTAAAAGCACGGGTGAAGCCAACATCTGCTGCATTTCGTGCTGGCCAGGTCTTTTCCGCGTAGCGGCTACGCACTGCGTGCGTGCTCAGGTCTTGCCAGCTCTCCAGGAGTTTCCTGGAGCCATGTCTTCTGTCGGGATGGGATAACTGCTCCACCTTGTAAATAGCAAAAATGGAATACAGGATAAAAGGCTGACAACCTAGCTTGGCAAGTAGAAACCCTCGCTATATTTGAAAGAAGTCCTGTAATCCGCTTCCATAAAAATCCTTGAATCCTTTGCGCGGCCCATCAAACCTGCCCGCTGACACCAAACAACTCTATCCGAGGGCGCCGGTGCGGCGTGTGCCAAAGCGCACAGTGCGCGCAAGAGGCGACCAAACGGGCTGACTTCGCTCTGCAAAGGTGCGCTTAGAAGGCCAGAGATTGACTGCAAAAATAGGTAATCAAATGATCATTATACCACAATTACACGGGATTGTGACTTCAACCGTTTCAAAGGAATGAATCCACATCAACACCAGCCTTCAATCAGGCTCTCGCGTCTTGCCAGCTGAACAGAGGTTCAGCTTTAGCTTTTAAGACGTCTAAAAGATGCAAAAAAAACAAGGTCGGCCTGTGGAATGGCACGCAACTTGACCGATCACTGGTGACTTTTCAAGCTGTGTCTCACGATGATCTGTGACATGTTCGTTACACATCCTTATCAGTCATCCAAATGACAGGCCACCATACTTCCGGAGAGCAGTCCCCCAGGTTTGGCTGCACGCCGCAGCATACAAACTTCGGTGAACTCCATGATGTCACTTCAGGTATGGCCTCATTGCAACCTAATAGCGATGGCCTCCAACCCAGAAGCGATGGCCTCCTATATTGCAGGGAACATGTCTGTGGGGAGATATCTAAAAAGATCCAACTTCAGCCATCACCACCATCACTATCAAGGAAACGCCGTTCGTCTGACTATCAGGACCACACTTTGGCCTGTTGGCAAACACCATGTTCCCCCCACAAGTTCATTGAAACATATTAAATATATTGTATGAAATAGTCTGAAAAAATCGAGGAGTGGCAATAGGAAAAAGTGACGTCATGGCAGATCGATGCGTTCATCCTTCCTGTCCTTTCCCGACCGCCTTTGGAAAGCTCGAAACCAACACTGGACCGGTCGTTGGACTTGAAAGCTTCAAAAATGGTGCATCCTCTGACATCGAGGGATGAAGCTGGCCCTAAATCCAGCTACAGTCTCACCTCGACGATATCCCCATTTGTTGTCTGCTGCCAACCACAACTCTCAACGATGTCTTCATGGTCGACTGCAAATGACACACGATTTCCCGACTTCCTGCTAGCATCCACTGCCAATGAGGCATTGGGAGCTGGCGGTCGAGAATCTACACCCGCAGAGGATTGCCGGGCAAAACCCTTGGATTCCATGGATAGACGGAGATGGTTGATGTCCAAATCCGGCGGAGGGCTCGGTGCAAAGGAGCTTTGTGTCCCAAACTCTCGGGAGACCTGTTGGCAAACAATTCGAGCAACAAGCACAAAGCATCCTTACCAAACATTGAAACGGAAGACGGCTCTTTCCACTTACATGCTGTAGTTTTCCAGTGCTATTCATCTCCCCAGTCCCATTCGATTAGAATTCATGGTTCATCATATTCCATCGTTTGGATCGTCAGGATGGTCTTTCGTTCCCACCTGCGGAGCTTGCAGCAGTGCAGCCGACGACCTCGGCGCATCCCCTCCTTCACCTTCCTCGCCCAGGCGTGTTCGGCGCCGATAGCTCACGATGCGCTTGAAGAGAGAGGGTCGCTGCTCCACTTCACCCAAGAACGTATCCAAGGTGAGCATCCAGTACTGGTGCAGATTCCTCCATGCAGTTTTTGGAGGAGAACTGATATGAGACTGCATCACTGCCAAAGAATAGTCATGGAACGATGTTCCTCCTACATGAGCAAGAGATCAAAAGGAGCAGGGCAAGTCCCCAGCACGGCTTGTCATACAGCCAGTCTCTGAGCCGAGAGGGTGCCCCCTTATTCCACCTGGGTGGCTTTGCTACACAGCGAAGTCCCCGCAGCCCGGGGCAAAAGGTCAAGTGGACTCAGATGCATTGAGTGCGATGTGTCCTGGCCATTGTTACTAGGGAGGCGCTCTTAGGTTGGAGGCCATCGCTATCATGTACCTACACACTGACAGATCGGGCCCTCCCCGCCTGTCTGGTTGTCGACTGCGAGAAGACCGATGAATCCAGGAGGACCATGATGCGCGGTTCACTTCACCCGTGTCATGTACCTCCTGGAGGTGGGTGGATCCGATGAATGTGGCCATCTAAACCATGCACCCCTGGAGATCACAGACTTTAAACAGGCACAGGCCCTTGTATTTACAGTATTTCACTATATATCCCCCATAAATAAAGATTGCAATGTCATTCTTTCCTCGGCTGAAATGAGAATCTCGCTCCAGATGTTTCGTCAGCCGAGCATCTCCCATCTCCACAAAATGGTTCAAAAAGGCGCATACAGAGAGGAACGAACAAACAAACGAACAAATGGACGAACAAAGGAACAAACAAACAAGCAAACAAACAAGCCAGGAAGCCAGCAAGCAAGCCAGCAAGCAAGCACGCAGGCCAACTAAACCATCACTGCCTGTATCCCCAACAGTATTTGACTCATCGAGTATCCATGTCCTCGATGGAAAAGTCCCCAACGGAAATACGGCTGCCACGCGTAGCAGTCGATCCAGTGGAACTCCTCGCTTCGTCATTCGAGCTGCCACATCCCATGGCGCCCGGGTGAACCGCTTGACGGAGCCCAGACGCTTGCAGTCACGGCCATGGTCACACTAGTAACAAGGGCATCGCTACTAGGAGCAAGGACGCTACTAGTGGCTCCTGGCCTTACTAGGAACAAGAAGCTACTAGTAACAAGGGCATCGCTACTAGGAACAAAATGAACTCAAACGATTCAATTCCGCTATAGATACCGGTTGATCATGGTCGATCGAAATAAGAGCTGTTATGTGAGTGGTGAACGAGGGTACAGATCAAGGGAGGAATCAGTCTACCAGTCTAAGCAACCATAGGCATGTGGCTCAGGCTCGGCTCAATTCGCATGCAAACCGCCCTACTCCGCAGGTTCGAAAGGAAAATCCACATGCGATCTTTCTCCCATGAGGCCCAGGTCTCGGACCTCGCGACGCGTCCAAGATCGACTTGTCTCTTGAACCCACGCAACCAGGCCTTGTGACCAAGACTTGTTTTCTTCGGATGCGTCCTTTGATAGGTCTTGGCCTCGGATGTCATCGCAGGGAGTCGGTCATCGACTGGAAGAAACGCTCGATGACTTAACCCCCGACGAGAAGTTGGCCGTTTCTAGGTGAACAGGACAGTTTGAGCCGTTCCTCTGGAGCACAATGAATCCTTGAGCCTCGCATTGTCATGTACGAGCCAAGAGGCCAAGTGGCCAACCTGTAACCTAGGCAACGTGCCTACCTGACTGACCTAACTCAAGCGACTGGTATAAGCCGAGCTGCACTAAAGCAAAGTGGTTTGTTCTTCTGGTACTCCTGGCGTTCATGAGGAATCAGTTTTTTGCAAACAGCTGTCCAAACTCCACCAGGCACGGGGCTTGCCCGGTGCGGACCGGACATGCAGGCAATGGATGCCTTCATAAATTGGCAAACCGAGAGCTGTTCTACCACGTATTCCGACCCATTCCCCATCGATCAACTGCCACTTACAACTGCGGAGATTTATCTCCATTTCACCTTAGCCATTGGCCATGCAAGTTGAGCATCAACCTACCAACTCAACTGATGAGTTCACTGACTTCAACCAAAGAAACAGTGAACTAAAACACCCGTTCGCTGGACCATATTGGGGCTGTCTTTTTGCTGACAGTGTGCGTTTGGGTGATTTGCTGGGTGATTTGCTTTGACCGGTGATCCAGATGCTTCGATCCAACCTCCGTGAAGTGTTGGTCACGGCCTGAGCGGAAGACAAGCTGGTGAGACAACGAGGAGGTCGATTTGGTTGCAAGCTTTCGCATGAACTTATGCTGTTGTGAGAGGCCGTAGCTGTAGATTCACAACCCTGGCAAAAAGGCACAAAAAATACAAGTTGTTCCCGGGCAAGCCGGCGGCGGAAGTTTCCAAAAGAATAAGCCTATAGGAAATGTGCATGTGGCAGGCTGATTCGCCGAGCTGCGATGTTCTTTGACAAGACAAGTTGGACCCGACCAATGGAGCCGAAAGCGAAGCAGCCACCGTCAACTGTCTCGCAGGAAAAAACGTTGTTCGTGCATTTTGCAACATACAGAATAGAGATGACTCGGCCGCGTACTAAAGTTGTACTACAAAGTCACCAGTTCTCAGCTTCCAGCTCCACAGACTGCTCCGCGTACTAAAGTTGTACTAGACAGTCGCCAGTTCTCAGCTTCCAGCTCCCCAGATACTCCGCGTACTAAAGTTGTACTAGAAAGTCACCAGTTCTCGTCTTCCAGCTCCCCAGATACTCCGCGTACTAAAGTTGTACTAGAAAGTCGCCAGTTCTCGTCTTCCAGCTCCCCAGATACTCCGCGTACTAAAGTTGCACTACAAAGTCACCAGTTCTCAGCTTCCAGCTGCACAGATTGCTCCGCGTACTAAAGTTGTACTAGAAAGTCGCCAGTTCTCATCTTCCAGCTGGCCAGCTGCTCCGCGTACTAAAGTTGTACTACAAAGTCGCCAGTTCTCAGCTTCCAGCTCAACAGATTGCTCGGCGTACTAAAGTTGTACTAGAAAGTCGCCAGTTCTCAGCTTCCAGCTCCACAGATTGCCCCGCGTACTAAAGTTGTACTAGAAAGTCGCCAGTTCTCAGCTTCCAGCTCCCCAGATACTCCGCGTACTAAAGTTGTACTACAAAGTCGCCAGTTCTCGTCTTCCAGCTCCCCAGATACTCCGCGGACTAAAGTTGCACTACAAAGTCACCAGTTCTCAGCTTCCAGCTCCACAGATTGCTCCGCGTACTAAAGTTGTACTAGAAAGTCGCCAGTTCTCATCTTCCAGCTCCCCAGCTACTCCGCGTACTAAAGTTGTACTACAAAGTCGCCAGTTCTCATCTTCCAGCTCCCCAGATACTCCGCGTACTAAAGTTGTAGTACAAAGTCACCAGTTCTCAGCTTCCAAATTGCTCCGCGTACTAAAGTTGTACTAGAAAGTCGCCAGTTCTCAGCTTCCAGCTCCCCAGATACTCCGCGTACTGAAGTTGCACTACAAAGTCGCCAGTTCTCAGCCTGCAGCTCCCCAGATAGTCCGAGTACTAAAGTTCTACTACAAAGTCGCCAGTTCTCAGCTTCCACAGATTGCTCCGCGTACTAAAGTTGTACTACAAAGTCGCCAGTTCTCAGCTTCCAGCTTCCCAGATACTCCGCGTACTAAAGTTGTACTACAACGTCGCCAGTTCTCAGCTTCCACCTCCACAGATTACTCCGCATACTACAGCGTGGTTCACGGCGACGCGCGCAGATCGATGCCTCCCTGCCACGAATTCTGCACATGGAGCTTCACAAAGTGTTGCGCCTGCCACGACATCTGCACTGAATCTGCACATGGGGGTTCACAAAGTGCTGCACCTGCCACGAAATCTGCACATGGAGGTTCACAAAGCGCTGTGCCTGCCACGAAATCTGCACATGGAGGTTCACAAAGCACTGCGCCTGCCACGCAATCTGCGCATGGAGGTTCACAAAGTGCTGCACCTGCCACGAACTCTGCACTTCAAGAAACAAGTGAAAAATCTAATCACAATGGAGGGACGATTCCGCCCATGATCCGAGCATGATCCGAGCATGATCCGACCATGACCCGAGACAGTCTCGCAACCCTCGTTCCGCGGAGCTTCCCCGTCGAGGTTCGGAGCAGCATGGAGGTTCACAAAGTGCTGTGCCTGCCACGAACTCTGCACATGGAGGTTCACAAAGTACTGCGCCTGCCACGCAATCTGCAAAGTGCTGCGCCTGCCAAGTAAACTGGAGCTAGAGCTATTGAAACTAGAGCTAACTGGAGCTAGAGCTCTTGAAACTGGAGCTACCTGGAGCTAGAGCTATTGAAACTAGAGCTACCTGGAGCTAGAGCTCTTGCAACTAGAGCTAACTGGAGCTAGAGCTCTTGAAACTAGAGCTAACGAGTGGCGTATGATGAGTGGTGTATGATGAGTGGTGTATGATGAGTGGTGTATGATGAGTAGTGTATGATGAGTGGTGTATGATGAGTGGTGTATGAAAAGTGGTGTATGATGAGTGGTGTATGATGAGTGGTGTATGATGAGTGGTGTATGATGGTGGTG